AAATCAGAAACTCCCTTATGCAAATAAGGAGAGGCTATGCCATGGCTGGGTAAGAGTGGCCAAGGTTATCAGAATTAGGTCATCTTCAGAGAGTCCAGCATCAAAGGGACTATAATCACACAATGTTCCACCAAAGTCAAAGGGCAAGGGAGGCAAACCAATTATCACATTCCTTCAAAGGAAGAAGGGCAATGTGTGTCATGGTTTGACTCCAGAACACAGAGGAAAAAGATGAGAGAGGGAAGCAAAGAGAAATGATGAAGGGAAGAGAAGAAGAAAGAAGAAGGGAGGGGGGGGGGGAAGGAAAAGAAAGAAAATGGATGTGTGACACACCCCTACCTGGGACCCAGGTTGTTCTTTACATATCCAGAAGGGGTATCCAAAGAATGACCTGTTTCCACCACCCAAAGGGTCCACCCACCCAAAGGAACCCAGGTCATAACCAAGTCTGCTCATACTCCATCTGAGGAGTGACTGGAGTGTGAGCAACCAGGTTATGACCAAGAGAGAAGGAGGAGGCAAAGGAGAGAAGGGTGAACAGTAAGAAGGGGAGGAGAGGGAGAGAAAGAAGGAAATGGGTGTAAACACCCCAACCAGGACCTAAGTCAGTCTCTACATATCCAAAAGGGGTACATAGAGTCTGATTTATTTCCACCACCCCAGTAGCAAAGCCAAAGGGGTCCAACCACCCAACCCAGGATTCAAAACATTCTAGAGTTATTCAAAAATGAATAACCAGAGAATGTTGAGTATCCAAGCCACCAGCCACCAAGGGAAAACACCCCCCTGATCCCAGGGAACAAATTGCTTATCCAAAAGGGTAAGCACTATGTATCCTGTTATCCACCAACCAACAGCCAGGAGTAAAAACCCCACCCATAGTACATCATTAGCCTAACCAGACTAGATAAATCAGTATGATAGAGTCAATGATGTACCAAGAAAACAGTTAAGTGGTTTAATGAGAAATCATTAAAACACTTAAACATCAGTCACAAGCTCAAAGAGAGAGGGCTTACAGTACAATATTGGGATAAAGCCTGTAGCAAATCTTATAAACCCCCACCTTAATTTTCCAAGTAGTTGCATCACAGTCCACACTCTTACCCTCAAAGTACACAGCATTTCTCAACTTCCAAATATGATGTATGGTGCTCAATGCTGCTAATCTCCAAATATTTCTCAGGTTGCCATGCACTCTATGCCTTCCAAGAAGCCATTTGATGACTCTTTCAATAGTTGAGAGTGCATAAGGAATTTTGAGCCAATCTTTCACATTCTTCCAAATCTGATGGGAGGCAGTGCAAGCAAAGAAAAGGTGATCAGTGGTCTCAAGTTCTTGTCCACAGAGGCTACAATTCCTATTCTCCATAGGGATAAATCCCAGATTCACCTTTGTTGATAATCTCCTTCTAATGGCAAGCCAGGTTGTAACAGAGAATCTGGGTGGAATGTAGCTTTGCCAAATCATTTTCATGCAGGGTTTGGGAGGCAAATGGACTCTCAATAAATCATACACCTTTGCTGTGCAAAATTCTCCATCTACAAGGAGGTCATCCCAATCCACTTCTTGATACTGATCAGTACCAAGCTTCTGGGCTAGATTGTTTCTCACTTCTGCAAGCTTTTTGAAGAAGTGTGAATCCCCATGTTTAGGGATCCAAGCCCAAATATCTCTGTCCTGAAGGTAGACACTGTGAACCCACTGAACCCAAAGGGTTTCTTTTCTTGAAGCAATGTTCCACAGGTTTTTAGCCATAAGTGCTTGATTCCAGACTTCTGAGTTCCTAAGCCCAAGTCCCCCTTCCTCCTTTGGTTTGCAAATATCATCCCAAGCCACTTTGTAGAATTTGTTTCCCCAAAGGAAGGTTCTGCAGATGGAGGTGATCCTGTTAAGGACAGATTTATGGATGGGAAAAGCTTGAAGCCAAAAACCTTCTATCCCTTGGATAACACTCCTAATAAGTTCAACTCTTCCAGCAATGGTCAAAGTTTTTGTGTTCCATCTTCTTATATTATCATCAACAGTTTCAATCAATGGTGCAAAGTCCCTCTCTGATGCCCTTTGTGAAGTGAGTGGTAACCCCAGGTATTTAACTGGTAAAAGTCCTTCAGGGAAATTCACCAAGTTGAGGATATGCTGCTTGTTTCCTTTGATTTGCCCTGCCAAGTAAATATTTGATTTCTGTGCATTGACATGGAGGCCAGAGACAGAGGAAAAGTGCTTCAAGGCATCAGCAAGGACTTGGACAGATTCTTTGTCCCCTCTGGAGAACATCATGATGTCATCAGCAAAGGCAATGTGTGTTATCTTCAGTGAGGAGCATTTAGAATGGAAGTTAAATCTCCTCTCTCTTGTCATTCTTTTCAGAAGTCTAGAGAGGTATTCCATGCAGAATAAGAACAAGGTAGGTGCCATGGGGTCTCCTTGTCTGATTCCTCTTTTGCACTTGATGAAGCCATGAATTCCCCCATTCAAAGATAAGGAAAAGGATGCAGAAGATACACATTCCATTATCCAATGAGTGAACTTAGTAGGGAATCCAAGGCCAGTCATAGTATTCTTCAGAAACTCCCAAGAGATAGTGTCATATGCCTTGGTTATATCCACTTTAAGCATGCAACAAGGGGGGCTTCTCTTCCTGGCATACCCTCTAACGAAATGTTGGGCCAGGAGTATGTTGTCCACCAGACTTCTCCCACCC